CCAAGACCGCGACCCAGGCGCTCAGAGAGTCAAACTCTTATACTGCGCCCACACGCCCAGGTACCTCCACTCTATCTCTATCTATCTATCTATCTATCTATCTATCTATCTATCTATCTATCTAAAATGCTCTGTGCATAATGAGTACCTTAAAAACAAAAGAACCAATGAACGAAATCACACCAAATTTGGCAACAAAACGTCTCACAAAACAAGGAGTGACCATCACTCAAAAAATTATGATTTTGTCATTTGGGAGTTGTAGTTGCTGGGATTTATAGTTCACCTACAATCAAAGAGCATTCTGAACTCCATCAATGATGGAATTGAACCAAACTTGGCACACAGAACTCCCATGACCAACAGAAAATACTGGAAGGGTTGGTGGGCATTGACCTTGAGTTTGGGAGTTGTAGTTCACCTACATCCAGAGAGCACTGTGGACTCAAACAATGATGGATCTGGACCAAACTTGGCACAAGCACTCAATACCCAAATAAGAACACAGATGGAGTTTGAGGGAAATAGACCTTGACATTTGGGAGTTGTAGTCACTGGGATTCACAGTTCACCTACAATCAAAGAGCATTCTGAACCTCACGAACGACAAAATCGGGGCAAACATCCCACACAGAACGCCCATGACCAACAGAAAATACTTAATGCCATCCAATCCAACTCCCTTCATCAGGGCAAGAAAACGTCCTCCTGACAAAGAGCCATCCAGCCATAGATAGATAGATAGATAGATAGATAGATAGATAGATAGATAGATAGATAGATAGATAGATAGATAGATAGATCTGATTCACACACAGATATAGTATCATAGATTTGAAAGAGACCCTTAAAGAAGGGCAATGATACGTTGCATGTTCCAGGGTGGGCAAACCAGACACTCTCCACATCAACACTGACAAAGAAACAGCAAGAAATACTGTTTACCTACAAGCATAAAGAAATTACATATATTAGAAACCAACACTTTCTCATTACTTTATTTTCCAGATCAACAGACTGGGCCACAGCAACGCGTGGCAGGGGACAGCTAGTTATATTATAAGCACAGTGCAGGAGACAAGATGGGACTGCCTTCCTGGCCCCCCTCTTCACTCAGAGCAGCAGTTGGTGCTGGAAGGGCGGGGGGGGGGGGGGGTCCCAACTTATGACACTAGAGAATAAACAGACTCTATTGGATTCTCAAACAGAGAGATGCTTTAACTATGTACTATTGTTTCTAAGGAAGATGCCCTGTGTTACCTGCACAAAGAAACTACCCCAAACTCCTATTGTAACTGGTTTCATAAGCAAAGTGCCTGTATACTGTATATATGAAGTTTTGTGAGTAAACCAACTTTCTTACTTTTTAAAAAAACTTTTTATTTTGTCTCTTGAGGGCATGATTTAAAGGCAAATACATTTTAAGGGAGAGTAGATGTTTTGGGCAAAACATCACAACCAAAGGAACACTTCTGTAACTCTGCTGAATATATGTTTTTGTGCATTGGCATGTCTTTGTCTCTAACAGTTCAAAAACATACCTAGCTACATTAGTTAACAGCTGAGAAATCTAGTTGCCTTGCATAAATGTTGGTGAATGCCATTTTTCCAAACCAGTTATGACTTCTAACAAGATCGTGCCTTTCCTTTGACCAGTGGTTTTCAAAAAAAGGTTATGAATCCCATTTCCCAAATGGTTATGGAGATTCACATTTTCCAAAATTCTGACATCAAAATACAGGCTACTCAACCCATTCATGACTGAAAGGCACAAAAAGATCTCAAAGCAGACACTTCATTTTATAGCTTTACGTACGTTAGCTCTTTTAAAGCTAGTTTTGACCGCTGGAGATCGGGTACATAATGAGAAATCAGTCCTTCGGTTAGTTGCTCCACAGCTTTTTTATTCACAACACTGAAATCGTCTTCTAATCCTTCATCAGGAGAACGGTCGTTTGAATCTGGAAAAAGAAATCAAATGCATAAAATGATTTTACCAAATAATTCCTCAGCAATGATTGCAAGAAGTATTAAATTATAAGACAACATTAATTTCTCAGATACCTTGTAGACAGCCTTTTACTGCGAGCGTTCCCAAAGAGTGTGGGTATTTGTAAATGGGAAATAAGTTACAGGTGAACAATTAGTAAGGACCCTTCCATGTAGTCAGATAACCCAGAATATCAAGGGAGATAATCAAGAGCCCCCGGTGCCACAATGGGCTAAGCTCTTGTGCCAGCAGGACTGAAGACCAAGAGGTTGGAGGTTCAAATCTGACGAGAGTGTGGATGAGCTCCCCCTGTCTGCTCCAGCTCCCCATGTGGGACATGAGAGAAGCCTCCCACAAGGATGGTAAAACATCAAAACATCGGGTGTCCCCTGGGCAATGTCCTTGCAGATGGCCAATTCTCTCACACCAGAAGCAACTTGCAGTTTCTCAAGTCACTCCTGACACACACAAAAAAGGCAGATAATCCACAATATCTGCTTTGAACTGGATTACTGGAAGGCCCTTCCACACAGCCCTATATCCCAGAATATCAAGGAAGAAAATCCCACCAGGGTGGGACAAAGAACTCTTGTCTGCTGGAGCTAGGTGTAAATGTTTCAACTGACCACCCTGATTAGCATTGAATGGCCTGGCAGTGCCTGGAGCAATCTTTTGTTGAGATGTGATTAGATGTCCCTGATTGTTTTCCCTCTGTAGTTTTGCTGTTTTAATTTTAGAGTTTTTAAAATACTGGTAGCCATTCAATGCTAATCAAGGTGGTCAGTTGAAACATTCCCACCTAGCTCCAGCAGACAAGAGTCCTTTGTCCCACCCTGGTCATTCCACAGATATATAAACCCTTTTTCCTAGTTCCAACAGACCTCACTACCTCTGAGGATGCTTGCCATAGATGCAGGCAAAACGTCAGGAGAGAATGCCTCTAGAACATGGCCATATAGCCCAAAAAAACCTACAACAACCCAGTGATTCCAGCTGAACAGCTCTCACAGTGAGGAAGTTCTTTCTAATGTTCAGGTGGAATCTCCTTGTTGTTTGAAGCCATTGCTCCATTGCATCCTAGTCTCCAGGGCAGCATAAAAAACAAGCTTGCTCTCTCCTCCCTATGACTTCGTGTCACATATTTATACATGGCTATCATGTCTCCTCTCATCCTTCTCTTCCGCAGGCTAAACATGCCCAGCTCTTTAAGCCGCTCCTCATAGGGCTTGTTTTACAGACCCTTGATCATTTTAGTCTATTTAATCAATTTCAAATCTGAAAATGTGGATTTTCTGCTTTGATAACCTTGTTGTTGTTCATTCGTTCAGTCATCTCCGACTCTTTGTGACCTCATGGACCAGCCCACGCCAGAGCTCCCTGTCGGCTGTCACCACCCCCAGCTCCTTCAAGGTCAGTCCAGTCACTTGATAACCTTATGATAACCATATAATCAAAGCAGATAATCCGCATTATCTATTTTGAACTGGACTATATGAGTCTAGCTTGCCACATAATCCAGTGCATTGAATGGCTAAAAAGGTAAAGGTAAAGGCTGTCCCCTGACATTAAGTCCAGTCATGTCTGACTCTGGGGTGTGGTGCTCATCTCCATTTCTAAGCCGAAGAGCCAGCGTTGTCCGTAGACACCTCCAAGGTCATGTGGCCGGCATGACTGCATGGAGCGCCGTTACCTTCCCGCCGGAGCGGTACCTATTGATCTACTCACATTTGCGTGTTTTTCGAACTGCTAGGTTGGCAGAAGCTAGGGCTGACAGTGGAAGCTCACGCTGCTCCCTGGAATTGAACCTGCGACCTTTCGATCAAGAAGCTCAGCAGCTCAGTGCTTTACCAGTATTAAAAAACTCTAAAATTAAAACAGCAAAACAGCAGAGGAAAAACAAACGGGGACATCTAATCACCTCTCAACAAAAGATTGCTCCAGGCACTGCCAGGCTATGCAATGCTAATCAAGGTGGTCAGTTGAAACCTTCACACCTAGCTCCAGCAGACAAGAGTCCTTTGTCCCACCCTGGTCATTCCACAGATATATAAACCCATTTTCCTAGTTCCAACAGACCTCACTACCTCTGAGGATGCTTGCCATAGATGCAGGCGAAACATCAGGAGAGAATGCCTCTAGACCAGTGGTTCTCAACCTTCCTATCGCCACAATTCCTTAACTGCGTTCCTCATGTTGTGGTGACCCCCAACCATAAAATCATTTTTATTGCTACTTCGTAACTGTCATTTTGTTACTGATATCAATTGTAATGTAAATATCTGATGTATTTTCATTTACTGGACCAAATTTGGCACAAATACGCAATACACCCAAGTTTGAATACTGGATTGATTTTGTCATTTGGGAGTTGTAGTTGCTGGATTTATAGTTCACCTACATATATGCCCATATATACACATATATACAAAAAGCATTCTGAACTCCACCAATGATGGAATTGAACCAAACTTGGCACACAGAACTCCCATGACCAATAGAAAATACAGGAAGAGTTTGGTGGGCATTGACCTTGAGTTTGGGAGTTGTGGTTCACCTCCATCCAGAGAGCACTGTGGACTCAAACAATGATGGATCTGGACCAAACTTGGCACTTGTACTTAATATGCCCAAATGTGGACATTGGTGGAGTTTGGGGAAGATAAACATTGACACTTGTGAGTTGTAGTTACTGGGATGTATAGTTCACCTACAATCTAAGAGCATTCTGAACCCCACCAATGACAGAATAGGGCCAAACTTCCCATACAGAAACCCCATGACCAACAGAAAATATTGTGTTTTCTGATGGTCTTTGGCGACCCCTCTGACACCTCCTCGAGACCCCTCCAGGGGTCCCGACCCCCAGGTTGAGAAATACTGCTCTAGACCATGGCCATATAGCCCTAAAAAAACCTACAACAACCCACTAGTATGTGGATTTTCCGCAGCTGTGTGGAAGGGGCCTCAGACTGGATCTACACTGCATATAATCCAGTTCAAAGCAGATAATGTGGATTCTGAAACTGGACTGTAGGAGAGTGGGCAAGGCCTACCTCGCAGGGCTGTGCTGAAGAGTGCTGTGCCCCTTGAGGGAAGGAGACATGGAATGAGGCCCTGGCATACCCACCCACAGCAAGGTCGTCGAAGGAATGGGCTCGCAAGGCCGCCTCCTCCGCCTCGAGCGGCTCCGCCAAGGCCATGGCCGGAGAAGGGGAGGAGGGAAAGCAGGCAGGCCGCGGTACCCTTTACAAGAAAGCCCAAGGCCCCTTGCCTTCCTCCGCTGGGCCCCAAGCCGAGCCCCGCGCCTCAAGACGGAGCTCCTGAGGGAAGGAGGTGGGCACGCGAGCCCCGCTTCGAGGGGAGACTAGGCCTTCCGGCCAGGCCTGTCACTTATGCGGAAGGGGCGGGGCCAGGCGCTGACAGCCCATAGAGCTAGGAAAAGAATAGAAGTTCAATGTATTGTCGAAGGCTTTCATGCCTGGGATCATGTGAAAAAGATCTTGGAGTCCTCGTGGACAACAAGCTAAACATGAGCCAACAATGTGATGTGGCGGCAAAAAAAGCCAATGGGATGTTGGCCTTCATCAATAGGAGCATAGTGTCTAGATCTAGGGAAGTCATGCTCCCCATGCTCTATTCTGCCTTGGTTAGACCACATCTGGAATATTGTGACCAAATTTCCCCCGGGAGTGAGTTCCACAGGTGAGGGGCCACCACTGAGAAGGCCCTGCTCCTCGTCCCCACCAACCTCACTTGTGATAGCGGTGGGGTCGAGAGCAGGGCCTCCCCAGATGATCTCAAATTCTGAGGTGGGACGTAGAGGGAGATTTCGGACAGATACGCTGGACCGGAACTGTAAAGGGTTTTGTAGGTCAAAACCAGCACCATGTGGTTGGGGGTCACCACCACATGAGGAACTGCATTAAGGGGTCGAGAAACGGAGTATCTTACATTTGTCACTGTTGAAAATGAAGTTCAACAGTGACAAATGCAAGATACTCCACTTTGGCAGGAAAAACGAAATGCAAAGATACAGAATGGGGGACAATGCCTGGCTCGAGAGCAGTACGTGTGAAAAAGATCTTGGAGTCCTCGTGGACAACAAGTTAAACATGAGCCAACAATGTGATGTGGCGGCAAAAAAGCCAATGGGATTTGGCCTGCATCAATAGGAGCATAGTGTCTAGATCCAGGGAAGTCATGCTCCCCATGCTCTATTCTGCTTGGTTAGACCACACCTGGAATATTGTGTCCAATTCTGGGCACCACAATTCAAGAGAGATATTGACAAGCTGGAATGTGTCCAGAGGAGGGCGACTAAAATGATCAAGGGTCTGGAGAACAAGACCTATGAGGAGTGGCTTAAGGAGCTGGGCATGTTTAGCCTGAAGAAGAGAAGGCTGAGAGGAGATATGATAGCCATGTATAAATATGTGAGAGGAAGCCACAGGGAGGAGGGAGCAAGCTTGTTTACTGCTTCCATGGAGATAAGGACAAGGAACAATGGCTTCAAACTACAAGAAAGGAGATTCCATCTGAACATGAGGAAGAACTTCCTGACTGTGAGAGCTGTTCAGCAGTGGAACTCTCTGCCCCGGAGTGTGGTGGAGGCTCCTTCTTTGGAAGCTTTTAAACAGAGGCTGGATGGCCATCTGTCAGGGGTCCTTTGAATGCAATATTCCTGCTTCTTGGCAGAATGGGGTTGGACTGGATGGCCCATGAGGTCTCTTCCAACTCTGATTCTATGATTCTATGATTTATATGCCATCCTTCTCACCCCGAAGGGGTCTCAGAGCAGCTAATATGCTTTACTAATAATCTAGCTATAGAAATAAAAATGTAATGTTCATTTGTGGGATTAACATAACTCAAAAACCACTGGACGAATTGACACTAAATTTGGACACAATACACCTATCAGGTCAACGAGTGACCATCACTCATAAAAACACAACAGAAGGGACTTTAAAATCCAAAAAACAAAAAATACATTGTATTGTCGAAGGTTTTCATGGCTGGAATCACTCAGTTCTTGTGGGTTTTTTTCGGGCTATATGGCCATGTTCTAGAGGCATTCTCTCCTGACGTTTCGCCTGCATCTATGGCAAGCATCCTCAGAGGTAGTGAGGTCTGTTGGAATTAGGAAAATGGGTTTATATATCTGTGGAATGACCAGGGTGAGACCAAGGGCTTTTGTAAGTTGGGCTAGGTGTGAATCTTTCAACTGACCACCTTGATTAGCATACAATGGGCTGACTGTGCCTGGGGCAAACTCTTCTTGAAAGGTGATTAGATGTCCCTGCCTGAGTCAAGATGAAGACCCACCCAGAGGAAAAGTGTTCCTGCCATACATCAAGGAAACCACTGACCGCATAGGGAAGCTGATGAGGAAACACAACATACAAACAATCTACAGACCCACCAAGAAAAGCCAACAAATGCTACGTTCAGCAAAGGACAAGAGGGATCCTCTCACCTCTGCAGGAGTCTACCGTATACCATGCAGCTGTGGACAAGTCTACAGAGGGACCACCAAACGCAGCGTTGCCCAAACACAAATCGAGGAACATGAAAGGCACTGCAGACTACTTCAGCCAGAGAAATCAGCCATAGCAGAGCACCTGATGAACCAGCCTGGACACAGCATATTATTTGAGAACACAGAAATGCTGGACCACTCCAACAACCACCATGTCAGACTACACAGAGAAGCCACTGAAATCAAGCATGTGGACAATTTCAACAGAAAGGAGGAAACCATAAAATGAACAAAATCTGGCTACCAGTATTAAAAAAAACTCTAAAATTACAACAGCAAAACAGCAGAGAGGAAACAACCAGGCACATCTTAACACCTCTCAACAAAAGATTTTCCCAGGCTCAGCCAGGCCTTCAAATGCTAATGAAGATGGTCAGTTGAAACATTCACACCTAGCTCCAGCAGAGAAGAGCTCTTTGCCCCACCCCAGCCATTCCACAGATATATAAACCCATTTTCCTAATTCCAACAGACCTCACTACCTCTGAGGATGCTTGCCATAGATGCAGGCGAAACGTCAGGAGGAAATGCCTCTAGAACATGGCCATATAGCCCGAAAAAACCACAAGAACCTAGAATAGAAGTTCTTTTGAGGCTCTTGGGAAAGATGGAGCAGAGTTTTTCCCAGACTCCTTCCACACAGGTATATACAATCCACATTGAACTGGATTATATGACAAAGTGGACTCAGATGACTCAATTCAAAGCAGATATTGTGGATCATCTGCCTTGATATTCTGAGTTACATGGCTGTTTGGAAGGGTCCAATAAAGGGAAATGGAATAATACAATGCTCATGGTATTTTGGACCTCAAAGAGGAGAACAACTACAGGCCTTTATACACTGCCATATAAAATCCAGATTATCTGCTTTGAACTGGATTATGTGGCAAGGTAGACTCATATAATCCAGTTCAAAATAGATAATGTGGATTATCTGCCTTGATATTCTGGGTTATATGGCTGTTTGGAAGGATCCAATAAAGGGAAATGGAATAATACAATACACATTTTATTTTGGACCTCAAAGAGGAGAACAACTACAGGCCTTTATACACTGCCATATAAAATCCAAACTATTTGAATGGTTTGGGACCGCATTTCTGTGTACGAACCCACATGATCTCTTCGATCATCTGGAGAGGACCTGCTCTCGATCCCATCTCCATCGCAAGCGCGATTGGTGGGGATGAGAGAGAGGGCCTTTTCGGTGGTGGCCCCTCAACTCTGGAACTCACTCCCTAAGGACATCAGGCAGGCCCCAACCATGGCAGTCTTTAGGAGGAGCTTGAAGACGTGGTTGTTCCAGTGTGCCTTCCCAGAATAATGATCCCATAGCACTTTGTCCTCCAAAGCACTTTATATTGATTTAGGACTGCTTGTATGTTCCCCCAACGCCCCACCACCTAAATATGTTTTGTTTCCACTGTTCAATGTTTATGCTATTTTAATTGTTTCGCATTAATATTTGTATTTTGCTTCATATTGTAATTGTCATTGTTTTGATGTATTGTGGGCTCAGCCTCATGTAAGCCGCACCGAGTCCCTTGGGAGATGGTAGCGGAGTACAAACAAGGTTTTTATTATTATTATTATTATTATTATTATTATTATTATTATTATTATCTGCTTTGCACTGGATTATGTGGCAAGCTAGACTCATATAATCCAGTTCAAAATAGATAATGTGGATTATCTGCTTTGATTATATGGCTTATCAAAACAGAAAATCCACATTTTCAGATTATCAAGGTTATCAAAACAGAAAATCCACATTTTCAGATTTGAAATTGATTAAACAGACTAAAATGATCAAGGGTCTGGAGCACAAGCCCTATGAGGAGTGGCTTAAAGAGGTGGGCATGTTTAGCCTGAAGAAGAGAAGGCTGAGAGGAGACATGATAGGTAAAGGTAGTCCCCTGACATTAAGTCCAGTCATGTCTGACTCTGGGGTGTGGTGCTCATCTCCATTTCTAAGCCGAAGAGCCAGCGCTGTCCGTAGACACCTCCAAGGTCATGTGGCCGGCATGACTGCATGGAGCACCGTTACCTTCCCGCAGGAGTGGTACCTATTGATCTACTCACATTAGCATGTTTTCAAACTGCTAGGTTGGCAGAAGGCTGAGAGGAGACATGATAGCCATGTATAAATATGTGAGAAGAAGTCACAGGGAGGAGGGAGCAAGCTTGTTTTCTGCTTCCCTGGAGACTAGGACATGGAACAATGGCTTCAAACTACAAGAGAGGAGATTCCATCTGAACATGAGGAAGAAATTCCTGACTGTGAGAGCCGTTCAGCAGTGGAACTCTCTGCCCCGGAGTGTGGTGGAGGCTCCTTCTTTGGAAGCTTTTAAACAGAGGCTGGATGGCCATCTGTCAGGGGTGCTTTGAATGCAATATTCCTGCTTCTTGGCAAAATGGGGTTGGACTGGATGGCCCATGAGGTCTCTTCCAACTTTAGGATTCTATGATTATCTTCGTCTACACTGCCACTTAATCCAGTTCAAAGCAGATAATCTGGATTTTTTTATGGCAGTGTAGAAGGGGCCTTTGCCATTCAGTTTTACTAGCAAACCAGAGGTTAAGACAATGCCTTCTAACAGAGTTGAACATATAAACTGCAACATTTAATGTACACAAGCATGTGGACAATTTCAACAGAAAGGAGGAAACCATGAAAATGAACAAAATCTGGCTACCAGTATTAAAAAAACTCTAAAACTACAACAGCAAAACAACAGAGAGTAAACAATCAGGCACATCTAATCACCTTTCAACAAAAGATTCCCCCAGGCACTGCCAAGCCATCAAATGCTAATCAAGGTGGTCAGTTGAAACATTCACACCTAGCTCCAGCAGACAAGAGTTCTTTATCCCACCCTGGTCATTCCACAGATATATAAACCCTTTTTCCTAGTTCCAACAGACCTCACTACCTCTGAGGATGCTTGCCATAGATGCAGGTGAAATGTCAGGAGAAATGCCTCTAGAACATGCCCATATAGCCCGAAAAACCTACAACAACCCAATTAAATGTGTGAGGACACAACAGGTCACATGAAAACCATATATATGATGCATAAAAATTAAGGCAAATTTGTATTGCTCATTTCACATAGGCCTCTTCTACAGACATATAAAATCCAGATTATCCGTTTTTAAGTGGATTATATGGTAGTGTAGACGCAGATAATCCAAAACATGTGGATTATCTGCCTTGATATTTTGGATTATATGGCAATCTAGAAAGGCCCAAAGTTTAATGCAAGCAAGTAACTGGAAAAATAGGAAACTACTTGTCAAATATTTTATAGCCAACATGGAACAAAGAGCTTCAAAATATTTATAAGTAAACTATACAAACTATCAAAAAGCTAAAGAGAAGAACACGCCGTTCTTTTGCCTTTACAGATTTGGTTCTTGGGAAAGATGAGGCTTTGTGTCCATCCAACAACAATAGAAAACCAAAATGAGATAAGCCGCAAACTAAGAACAGTAAAGTCTAATTCTTATTATCAAGTGTTTTCAAAACAATTTACAAATTGTTCATCTGGTGCTCTCTGTTCTACTGCTGTGGTTTGCGAGATCAATCCTGTTCGTATTTCTTAATAAAGTTTCCCCCTCTTTTTTCTTGTTTGCATGCATTTTTGAATCAGTACCATTGTGGATCCAAATTTGCACCGGCCACAGACTGCGAATAAATGCACTTTTGGACCAATGGGATTGCAGATCCCGGCACTGCACCAATCGCCTGTTTCTCATGTTCCCAAATGCATATGAATTCTCTATATAATACCCATGGTCTGTATTTGAAAGACACACTGGATCAATTTCTACTCCTGTCTTCTGCTTGTTTCATTGGACCAACTGGAGACCCCGGGATTTTGGAAAACAGCTGGGTAAGATTACCTAAAGACTCAAGCTGGTTCTGCACTGCCATATAATACAAATGATAAAGCAGATAATCCACGTTATCTGCTTTTAACTGGATTATGATGAGTCTACACTGCCATATAATCCAGTCCAAAGTAGATAATCTGGATTTTATATGGCAGTGTTTTAAGTGTTGTTAACTAGTTTTAATTCCTTTTTAATATAGTGTAATTTTTTTTTAGTACAATGAATTTGGTATTTTGTTATATACATATACATATATACATACACACATACACATATCCACACATATATATCCATATATACACATACACATACATATAAACATACATATATATACAATACACATATACACACACATATCCAGATATACACATACACATGCATATAAACATACACATATATGCATCCATATATACACACACATATATATACACACATATACATCCATATATACACATAAACATAAACATACACATATAAACAATACACATATACACGCACATATCCAGATATACACATATACATATACACACATATACATCCATATATACACATAAACATACATATATACAATATACACATACACACATGTCCATATATACAAATATACATACATACACACATACGTATACACTTAAACACATACATACACACATATACATATACACACATATAAATCCATATATACACATGCATATTGTGCAGGTACAACTGCACCAGGAGCTCCAATTTTGCTTGCTTTGCATTTAATGTTTGTTATAGTCCTAAGTTTCAGGGACTCTGCAGATAGGTGCCTTCTTTTGGCTGCAATCATAGGGCAAGCCACCTGTCAATTATAGTTAGGTTCCCTGGTCCCTTCCCCTTTGGGTTTTTGGAGGGAATAGGAGCCTTTTTGAGTTCAGTCCACACAGAGAAGCTTTCCATGCAGGTCATAATACCAAGAGCTCCTGTAGAAAGTTTCGTCTTCTACGGTTTGGCTGGGGAGATACAGCCCTACAGTTTGGCCGAGGATCATACAGCCTTACAGCTCCTTTGCTGAGGGACTTCAGTCAGCCATCACTGAAACCTGAACTCCTTTTCCCCTGGAAACCTACAAAGCTCTGCTTGGTAAGGGTCTCTCGCGGAAGCCAGACGCAGTTGGTACCGGGTGCAGGGGCTCCACGCCAACAGAGGCAATGACAGACTGCCCAGATTAGAAGTTAAGGATTTCCCCATTAGTTAGTATTCAGTTATGAAGATAGTGCCTGTTCCCCGTGGACAAGATTGAAAGAGCCTGTAGACTGTTAAGAAAGCTTTAAAGTCCCTGTTTGTTTTCCTTAATAAAGAACTTTGTTGAACCTTTAAGCAATCTAAAGACTCCGTTTTAAGGAAATCCAAAGGCCTTTAATCTGAGGCAGTCCCGGCGTCCCGTTAGGCACATGGAACTTATGTCCTGTCTACAGTCTGATGTACAGGCCCAGCGTGCGACAGCACACATATCAATATACACGTAAATACAATACACATACACACATATATGTCCATATATACACATATACATACATGCACATACACATATAAAAACATACACACATATATACTAGGGCTGGGCGGTTTCGTTCGTTAATTTCGTAAATCGTTATTAATTCGTTATTTTTTTTGATAACGAAGCGATATTGAACCATTCAGGAGCAACTAAAAAACGAAACGAATTTTTCCAATTCGTTTCGTAATTGTTTCGAAATTGTTTCGTATTATTTCCGTATGTCTGGTGCAAGTTTTATAGTTGTTGTTTTATCAGTGATAAAAAAATAAATTATCACACCAACAGTCAACAACAGAGGGAGAGGGAAGCTTCAGAAGTTCCCCCTGTCCCATTTGGAGGGTTTTTTAGCGTATTGCGCAATCGCGTCCGCCATTAACGAATCGATTCGTTATTGTTTCGAAATTGTTTCGTAATTTCCGAAATTTCGTAAATATCGAACTTTTTAAAGAAAAATTTCGGAATTCTTTTAAATAACGAAACGCAAAAACCCCCTAAAAACGAATCGAGTTTAGAAACAAATTTTTCCGTGGTTGGACAGCCCTAATATATACATATACATATAAACACACACATATAGGTCCATATATACACATAAACACACATATGTCCATATATACACATATACATACATGCACATACATATATAAAAACATACACTGTGCTGTCACACGCTGGGCCTGTGCATTAGACTGTACACAGGACATAAATTCTCTGTGCCCAACGGGACGCCGGGGCTGCCTCAGAATAAAGGCCCTTAGATTCCCCCAAACAGAGTCTTTAGAATGCTTAAAGTAAGTCCAACAAAGTTCTTTTATTAAGGAACAAACAGGTACTTTAACGGTTTTCTTAACAGTCTATGTGTGTATGTGCTGGTACAACTGTACCAGCACATACACACATATACATATAAACACACACATATAGGTCCATATATATGGTAGTACACGCTCTGGTCACATCCCGCCTTGACTACTGCAACGCTCTCTACGTGGGGCTGCCCTTGAAGACGGCCCGGAAGCTCCAGCTAGTCCAGCGCGCGGCAGCCATGTTACTAACAGGAGCGGGACGCAGGGAGCATACAACGCCCTTGTTGTACCAGCTCCACTGGCTGCCGATCTGCTACCGGGCCCAATTCAAGGTGCTGGTGTTGGCCTACAAAGCCCTAAACGGTTCCGGCCCAAAATACCTGTCTGACCGCATCTCGGCCTATGAGCCCACGAGGACTTTGAGATCGTCCGGGGAGGCCCTTCTCTCGATCCCGCCTGCCTCACAGGCACGCCTGGCGGGGACTAGGGACAGGGCCTTCTCGGTGGTGGCCCCCCGGCTGTGGAACACCCTCCCTGTGGACATCAGACTGGCGCCCTCCCTTATGACATTCCGCAAGAGACTAAAGACGTGGTTGTTTGAGAAGGCGTTTGAGTAAATGCTGCAACAATTGGCAATGACGATTGGAACGGAACATGGATAACGAGATTTGGATTGTGATTCAATGATGAGACGTCGCAAATGATTTAGTGTAATTGTATTATTGATAGTGATGTTGTTTATTGTTGTTTGTGATATTGCTTATGTTGCAAATTGTACCTGTTTTTATATGTTGTACACCGCCGTGAGTCGCCCTAGGGCTGAGAACGGCGGTCTACAAGTGCAGTAAATGATAATAATAATAATAATAATAATAATAATATATACGTATACACACACATATATATACATATATATATACACCCTAACAATGCATGCTGCCTCAAGTCCAAATGGGGAAAAGTAGAGAGGGGCAAAGACTGAGTGGAGGCGTGGCTACCGCCTGCCAGGCCCCGCCCCCTCCTTCCCTGCCTACAGTTCCCAGCCTGCCTTGCGCGCGGGTTAACCCTTCCGAAGCCGTGTCGCCGGGGCAGTTGCTGGTTGAGAGACGTCGCCGTGGACGAGGAGGAGGAGGAGGCCTCTCTCACTCTCTCTCTGCCTCCAGGGCTGAAGGGGCCCGAGGCCGGCATGGAGAGGCAGCAGCCGGGGGGGCCTGGCCGGGTCCCTCTCCCTCCCTCTCCCCAGGAATGCCCCTCCTTCCCTCCTTGCGAGGCGGGGACCCGCGCCCATCCCGACGTGCGGCTGAAGACACGCGTCTTGGAGGTGCAGCATTCCCATCCCTCTCACAGTAGGCCTGGGCCAACTTGGGCCTTCCCTCCAGGTGTTTTGGACTTCAACTCCCAGAATTCCTAGCAGCCTCAGGCCCTTGGCCTGAGGCTGCTAGGAATTCTGGGAGTTGAAGTCCAAAACACCTGGAGGGAAGGCCCAAGTTGGCCCAGGCCTCTGCTCTACAGCCAAACCTTATCTAACCTGGGAGTCAGGTAGAGCCAAGCAGAGGCTGGGTGGGCATCTGTTGGGAGGGTTTCGATGGTGTCTTCCTGCCTTGTGTGGGTCTCTGCACACCTTCTCTGCCTCCTCCATGGACACTTGAGGAGGTGGACGAGGTGTGAATGAAGAGGAGAGCCATGACTTGCTAGACTTTGCACCTGGGCAAGGGGCACTTTGCCATATTGTGTCCCTGTAAGTCTGTTGTGTCCCTCCCTGCAAGTCTTTTTAGGTATACAACAGCAAAAGAACTGCTGTTGTAATGTGTACCTATAAAGTCTTTCCTGGCTTTGTGATGAAATGAGACTGCTGTTGTGTACTTGTAAATCTGTTGTGTACCTGCAAGTCTTTTATGACTTTGCAATGGAAAGAGAGGTGCTGTTGTGTATTTGCAAGTCTTTCCTGGCTTTGCGATGAAAAGAGCGGTGCTGTTGTGTTCCTGTGAGTCTGTTGTGTATTTGCAAGTCTTTTCTGGCTTTGCAATGGAAATAAAGGTGCTGTTGTGTACATGCAAGTCTGTTGTGTGCCTGCAAGTCTTTTATAACTTTGCAATGGAAAGAGAGGTCCTGTTGTGTATTTGCATGTAGTTTCTGGCTTTACGATGGAAAGAGAGGTGCTGTTGTGTATTTGCAAGTCTTTCCTGGCTTTGCGATGAAAAGAGCGGTGCTGTTGTGTACCTGTAAATCTGTTGTGTCCCTGCAAGTCTTTTCAGGCATACAACAGCAAAAGAACTGCTGTTGTATACCTATAAAGTCTTTCCTGGCTTTGTGACGGAAAGAGACTGCTGTTGTGTACTTGCAAATCTGTTGTGTACCTGTCAGTCATTTATGACTTTTTGGATGGAAATTTCTGTTGTGTACTTGCAAGTCTTTTCTGACTTTGTGATGGAAAAAGAACTGCTCTTGTGAACCTGTGATGAAAAGAGCAGTGCTGTTGTGTACCTGCAAGTCTTTTCTGACTTTAGGATGGAAAGAGCAGTGCTGTTGTGTACCTGTAAGTCTGTTGTGTACCTGCAAGTCTTTTCTGACTTTGCGATGGAAAGAGAGGTACTGTTGTGTATTTGCAAGTCTTTTCTGACTTTGCAATGGAAAGAGCGGCACTGTTGTGTATTTGCAAGTCTTTTCTGACTTTGTGATGGAAAAAGTACTGCTGTTGTGTACCTGCAAGTTTTTTCTGACTTTGCAATGGAAAGAGAGGACCTGTTGTGTATTTGCAAGTCTTTTCTGACTTTGTGATGGAAAAAGTACTGCTGTTGTGTACCTGCAAGTCTTTTCTGACTTTGCAATGGAAAGAGAGGTCCTGTTGTGTATTTGCAAGTCTTTTCTGACTTTGTGATGGAAAGAAAAGTTCTGTTGCGTATTTGCAAATCTTTTCTGACTGCGATGGAAAAAGTACTGCTGTTGTGTACCTGTAAGTCTGTTGTGTACCTGCAAGTCTTTTCTGACTTTGCAATGGAAAGAGAGGTGCTGTTGTGTATTTCCAAGTAGTTTCTGACTTTGCGGTGGAAAGAAATGTTCTTTTGTGTATTTGCAAGTCTTTTCTGACTTTGCGAAAAGAAATGTTCTTTTGTGTATTTGCAAGTCTTTTCTGACTTTGCGATGGAAAAAGAGGTACTGTTGTGGCTTTGTGATGAAAAGAGCGGTGCTGTTGTGTACCTGTAAGTCTGTTGTGTACCTGCAAGCCTTTTATGACCTTTCAATGGAAAGAGAGGTACTGTTGTGTATTTCCAAGTAGTTTCTGACTTTGTGGTGGAAAGAAAAGTTCTGTTGTGTATTTGCAAGTCTTTTCTGACTCTGTGATGGAAAGAGAGGTACTGTTGTGTATTTGCAAGTCTTTTCTGACTCTGTGATGGAAAGAGAGGTACTGTTGTGTATTTGCAAGTCTTTTCTGACTCTGTGATGGAAAGAGAGGTACTGTTGTGTATTTGCAAGTCTTTTCTGACTCTTTGATGGAAAAAGTACTGCTGTTGTGTACCTATAAGTCTGTTGTGTCCCTGCAACAGCAAAAAAACTGCTGTTGTATACCTGTAAGTCTTTCCTAGCTTTGTGATGAAAAGAGCGGTGCTGTTGTGTACCTGTAAGTCTTTTATGACTTTGCGATGGAAAGAGAGGTGCTGTTGTGTATTTGCAAGTAGTTTCTGACTTTGCAGTGGAAAGAAAAGTTCTGTTGTGTATTTGCAAGTCTTTTCTAACTTTGTGATGGAAAAAGAACTGCTGTTGTGTACCTGTAAGTCTGTTGTGTCCTTGCAAGTCTTCTCTGGTATACAACAGCAAAATAACTGCTGTTGTATACCTGTAAGTCTTTCCTGGCTTTGTGATGAAAATAGACTGCTGTTGTGTACCTGTAAGTCTGTTGTGTACCTATAAGTCTGCTGTGTCCCTGTAAGTCTTTCCTGGCTTTGTGATGAAAAGAGCGGTGCTGTTGTGTACTTGTAAGTCTGCTGTGTACCGATAAGTCTGTTGTGTCCCTGCAAGTCTTTTCAGGTATACCACAGCAAAATAAGTGTTGTGTACTTGTAAGTCTGTTGTGTACCTGTCAGTCATTTCTGACTTTTTCGATGGAAATTTCTGTTGTGTACTTGCAAGTCTTTTCTGACTTGGTGATGGAAAAAGAACTGCTGCTGTGTACCTGTAAGTCTTTCCTGGCTTTGTGATGAAAAGGGAGGTGCCGTTGTGTACTTGTAAGTCTGTTGTGTACCTGTCAGTCATTTCCGCCTCAACCCCACCCCCCATGGAAATTTCTGTTGTATATTTGCAAGTCTTTTCTGATTTTGTGATGGAAAAAGAACTGCTGTTGTGTACCTGTGATGAAAAGAGCTGTGCTATTATGTATTTGCAAGTCTTTTCTGACTTTGCGATGGAAAGAGAGGTGCTGTTGTGTATTTGCAAGTAGTTTCTGGCTTTACGATGGAAAGAGAGATACTGTTGTGTATTTGCAAGTCTTTTCTGACTTTGCGATGGAAAGAGAGGTGCTGTGTGTGTATTTGCAAGTAGCTTCTGGCTTTACAATGGAAAGAGAGGTGCTGTTGTGTATCTATAAGTCTTTTGTGTCCCTGCAAATCCTTTCTGCTTTTGCGATGGAAAGAAAAGTTCTGTTGTGTACTTGCAAGTCTTTTCTGACTTTATGATAGAAAAAGAACTGCTGTTGTGTACCTGTAAGTCTTTTCTAGTTTTGTGATGGCGAGAGGTGCCGTTGTGTATCTGCAAGCCTGTTGTGTACCTGTCAGCCACTTCTGACTTTGCGATGGGAAGAGAGGTGCTATTGTGTACCTGCAAGTCTTTTCTGCCTTTGCAATTAAAAGAGCAGAACTGTTGTGTACCTGTAAGTCTGTTGTGTACCTACAAGTCTTTTCTGGTTTTGCGATAGCAAGAAAGGTGCTGTTGTATACCTATAAGTCTTTCGTGTCACTGCAAATCTTTTTTGCTTTTGCGATGGAAAGAAACGTGCCTTTGTTTACCTGCAAGTAATTTCTGGCTTTGTGTTAAAAAGAGCAGTGCTGTTGTGTGTCTGTAAGTCTGTTGTGTCCCTTCAAGTCCTTTCTGAGTTTCAAATAGTTTCTGACTTCGATGGAAAGAGAGGTGCCGTTGTGTACCTTTAAGTTGTATCTGGCTTTGTGATGGCAAGAGAGGTGCTGTTGTGTACCTGCAAGTATGTTGTGGACGTGCAAGTCTTTTCCGACTTTATGATGGCAAGAAAGGTGCCATTATGTACCTGCAAGTCTTTTCTGACTTTGCGATGGCAAGAGAGGTGCTGTTGTGTACCTGCAAATCGTTTCTGGCTTTGTGATGAAATGAGAGGTGTTGTTGTGTACCTGTAAGTCTGTTGTGTACCTGCAAGTTGTTTATGAGCTTCTGCTAGGTAGAGAGGTGATGTTGTGTATTTTCAAGTACTTTCTGACTTTCCTATGGAAAGAGCGGTGCAGTTGTGTACCTGCAAATCGTTTCTGGCTTTGTGATGAAATGAGAGGTGCTGTTGTGTGCCTGTAAGTCTGTTGTGTACTTGCAAGTTGTTTCTGAGCTTCTGCTGGGTAGAGAGGTGATGTTGTGTATTTTCAAATACTTTCTGACTTTCCGATGGAAAGAGAGGTGCTGTTGTGTACCTGCAAGTCGTTTCTGGCTTTGTGATGAAAAGGGAGGTACTGTTGTGTACCTGCAAATATGTTGTGTACCTGCAAGTTGTTTCTGGGTAGAGAGGTGATGTTGTGTATTTTCAAATACTTTCTGACTTTCTGATGGAAAGAGAGGTGTAGTTGTGTACCTGCAAATCGTTTCTGGCTTTGTGATGAAATGAGAGGTGCTGTTGTGTACCTGCAAGTTGTTTCTGATTTGCGGTGACCCTAAGGCAGAGACTTTGCCTTTGGCTTCATCTGAGGCTGAGAGAGAGTGGTCATCTAGTGGTCTTCCACAGCCGAGCAGTGGTTCAGTCCCCGGTTCTAATGGGAGAAACATTCCGTTTGTTTCCTAACTGACTTCTCTTTGCAGCTTTGATCTTCTGACGAGCCTGACACTCCACGGTGCACTTGGCTTCATCGAGATGGAACATGGCCCAAGTAAATAGCACAAGGAAGCCCAAGCGGATCACCGAAAGGCCAGAGCTCGCCTGAGGGGAAGAGGCACTGTTGGACGTTCCCGGCCCAACAGAAGGAAGGATGGCCCGCTCCGGCATCTGGAACCGCCTCAAGTCCATGCTGAGGAAGAACGATGACGCCTTGTTCTTGAATGACTGCAGTGCCTTTGACTTCTCGGACGAGGGGGGCGAGGAGGACATCCCCAGGTTCAACAAGCTGCGGGTGGTGGTTTCGGAGGAGGCGGGTGAGGCCTCCGCCAACGGGACTCACGTGGGACCCCATTCCGACGACGAATCCTTGCTGGACAGGGATGTGGCTCCGCGGAGCGCCCAGGCCGGCCCCGGGACTGACCCTTGCCACAACTGCAGCAAAGAACGGGAGCGGGCGAAGCAGAAGAAGGTGAAGAGGCGCCTGATCCTGGCAGCCATCCTCTATCTCCTCTTCATGACAGGGGAGCTGATAGGTAAGAATGATCCCTTGATATCCATCTCTCGATTGGCCTTCCTCTTTTCCCACTTTGAATCATAGAATCAAAGAGTTGGAAGAGACCTCATGGGCCATCCAGTCCACCCCTGCCAAGAAGCAGGAATATTGCATTCAAATCACCCCTGACAGATTTGAACAGGTTGTTAGGAATTGTGGGAGTTGTTAGGAATTGTGGGAGTTGAAGTCCAAAACACCTGGAGGGCCAAAGTTTGCCCACGCCTGAGCTACAGCACAATCCTATTCTTCCTAGCCGAAGTTTTATTGCATTCTCTACTACAGATATAATGCAGCCTGATATCAAAAGTTTGTCCTTTTTGAGCCTTCCTTCATTTCCTCCTGATGCTGCTAAAAACCTTTCAACTAGATCAGTGTTTCTCAACCTAAGGGTCGGGATCCCTGGAGGGGTCTCGAGGGGGTGTCAGAGGGGTCGCCAAAGACCATCAGAAAACACAGTATTTTCTGTTGGTCATGGGGATTCTGTGTGGGAAGTTTGGCCCAATTCTGTCATTGTTGGGGTTCAGAACGCTCTTCGATTGTAGGTGAACTATACATCCCAGTAACTACAACTCACAAGTGTCAATGTTTATCTTTCCCAAACTCCACCAGTGTCCACATTTGGGCATATTGAGTATTCATGCCAAGTTTGGTCCAGATCCATCATTGTGTGAGTCCATAGTGCTTTCTGGATGTAGATGAACCACAACTCCAAAAGTCAAGGTCAATGCCCACCAAACCCTTCCAATATTTTCCGTTAGTCAAGGGAGTTCTGTGTGCCAAGTTTGGTTCAATTCAATTGTTGGTGGAGTTCAGAATGCTCTTTGATTGTAGGTGAACTATAAATCCCAACAACTACAATTCCCAAGTGACAACATCAATCCCCTGCCAACCCCACCAGTATTCAAATTGGGCATATCAGGTATTTGTGCCGCATGTGGTCCAGTGAATGAAAATACATCCTGCATATCAGATAATTATATTATGATTCATAACAGTAGCAAAACTGTAGTTGTGAAGTAGCAACGAAAATAATTTTATGGTTGGGGGTCACCAACCATAAAATTAAGGGGTCGTGGCATTAGAAAGGTTGAGAGCCACTGAGATAGAGGGTGAGGAGGAAAGGGGATTTCAAAAGACCTTGTTAAAATGAACTTCTTTGTCAAAGGTTTTGTTAACTGTAGTTTTCAGCAATGACTCCCATCTTCTAATGACTTGTCCAAAATAGAATAGACCCAGTTTGTTTAGTCAGCTTAGCATCTTGTGAGAGCTCAGGCGTGATTTCTCTTGGACCCATTTGTTTGTTTGTTTGTTCTTTAAGCATTCTTTGGTATACAGCTTTCCTCCATCACCACATTGTAAATGCATTAATAAAATAATAATAAAACTTTAGTTATATACCGCTCTATCTCCCCGGGGGGACTCAGGGCGGTTTCCAAGCACAACATCAAAACATACAGAGTCACAACACGAACAAAAAACAACAGTAACAGCAACGTAAGCATGGAATTACCCAACAACACATAAATATTAAAAGGAAAAATCCTGCCTGCTCTTCATGTCTATTTGTTAGGGCATGGAAAAGAGTCAAGACAATTAAAAAGACTGGGTCAAGACCGATACAAATTGAAATAAGATAGGACCGGCATTTGGGTATAGTACTGTAATAGGTAAACGACAAAAGCGGGGACTCGCTATTTCCAGGGGCCTGTTAGAGGAAAGACCAGGGTAATATATTGGGGGGATAGGTCGTGTCCGGATAGTGTCTGGGCTGAGCTAGCACTGGTCACTCTCGAAGATTTGTTGAAACCACCAAGTCTTCAAACTCTTATGAAAAGTGGGGAGGGATGGGGCCTGTCTTATTTCCCTTGGAAGGGAAATAAGAGGTGGGGGGCCACCACTGAGATGACCCTCTCTCTCATCCCCACCAACCGTGCTTGTGACGGAGGTGGGTGTGAGAGGAAGGCCTCCCCAGAGGATCTTAGAGTTCACACATTAAGTCTCTTCCTTTTCTTTACTGTCCACCTATCCATAGAAATCAGAAAGATGATGGGTTGGATGGTTCCAACAACCACTTTATACTTGTCTAGTTCCTTCATCTGGACCATAGGGAAGGCTGAGTGAAGGAAGATAGATGCTTTTGAACTATGGTGCTGGAGGAAAGTTCTGAGAGTGCCTTGGACTGTGAGAAGATCCAAGCAGTTCATACTTCATGAAATAAAGCCTGACTGCTCATTGGAGGGAAGAATAGTAGAGGCCAAGATGAAGTACTTTGGCCACATCATGAGAAGAAAGGAAAGCTTAGAGAAGACAATGATGCTGGGGAAAATGGAAGGAAAAAGGAAGAGGGGCCAACCAAGGGCAAGATGGATAGATGCCATCCTTGAAGTGACTGGATTGACCTTGAAGGAGCTGGGGGTGGTGACGACCAACAGGGAGCTCTGGCGTGGACTGGTCCATGAAGTCACGAAGAGTCGGAAACAACTGAACGAATGAACAACAACAAAGTTCCTTCATCACAGCCCTTCCGAATCTTAGTCTTCCGCTTTATTGATTCCAGTTTCCGTTCTGATTATTGATTGATTATTAGGAAAATTGCCTTCATTATTTTCTTGATGGGACAATGGAAACTAAACTTGCAGTTGCAAGGAAGTAGCAAGTGGAGTAAGCAGAAGCAGCAAGCAAATAGAGAAAAGGGGGCACCGAAGGGCACTGGCAACATCTTGAGCTTCTGTTGTGCTGACTTAAGTCTGCTGAATAATACAATCGCTCAGCTTTCAAAAAAGATCCAGTCAACTAGATTGTGTATTAAATTGCTGGTGCTTTCAAGGTCTTTTCAGGAAGGGCAAGTCTAAAAGAAAACAAAGTACAGCCCAGAAAACACACTACCAACTGGTCTGTCTGCTTGTACACTCAAGTGACTAACAGATGATTGGGCTGGAAAGTGAGTAACTTTATTTTGAACCCTATGGAATCTGCATCCGAAGCTTCTCAGTCTTGCTCTCAAAGGACAATCGAGAAAAAGTTTGGTTGTGGGTAAAAACTCCATAGGAAGAGGTGCGTCACAGCATAGCTCAGGTTTGGGGAAAGTTTCCAGAGCCATTTTTATGATTTCTGAAACCTCTTTGAGGCCTCCCCTCTATCTAGCAAAGGACAATGACCCTTGTCCTTCTGTCCACCCTTGGCTTAATGCATTCCATTGTTCTCCCTGGAATGGTTATTACTGACTTATCATTGTGAGTTCAGTTGAACTTGTTTGTATGGATACATGCTTGGTTCAAACTCTTAATTCTTTGGAAATATATTCTGGAACAAGTGATACCAAAAAAAATCAATCCTGTGGTTTTTTCTTACTCTTAATTTTCCCTTCAGTTGGATTTATGAGAACCTATCTGTGTAAATAAAAATGTAATGTTAGTTTGTGGGATTAACATAACTCAAAAACCACTGGGTAAATTGACACCAAATTTGGACACAATACGCCTATCATGCCAGCAATTGACCATCACTCATAAAAACACTGAAAAACACATCAGAAGAGACTTTAAAGGCCAAAAAACAAAAACAAAATCCATTACAATGCATGCAGAAAACCATATATATATATATATATATATATACACACACACACACACACACACACATAAATACATATATATATACACACGCAAATACACATACACACATACAGTATGCACAAATACACACATATACACACACAAAACACATATACGCAGACTGGGCCATAGCAACACGTGGCAGGGAACAGCAAGTATATAAATAAAATGTAATGTTAGTTTGTGGGATTAACATAACTGAAAAACCTCTGGACGAATTGACGAAAAATTTGGACACTACACCCTTAACAGACCAATGAGTGACCATCACTCATAAACTTCCCCAAAAAACAGTGAAAAGGACTTAAAATCCAAAAAAGCTAAACAACAATACAGTGCATATTTCCAATTTCCTATTCCTGGACTGCAACTCTCAGCAATGCTCTATATAGATAAGATGAATAGATTACATAGAGATAGATATGTAGGTAGATAGGTAAATCAATCAGGAGGACTGCTGGGAGTTGCAGTCCAAATATAGGTAGAGAAGGAAGAAAGGAGAGAAAGAAAGGAAAAAAGGGAAGGAAGGAAAGAAAGAGGAAGGGAAGAAAGGAGAGAAAGAAAGAAAGGAGAGAAAGAGGAAAGTTGGCCACAGCAACGCGTGGCGGGTACAGCTAGTTGCAAATAATGTTTGTTGGGTGAGTGGGCTTATTTACAAAAGACTGTCTCCATAAATACACAGCAGAGGAACTGATTAGCAGCAGCATGACCCTGCACCATTAGCCAAAAGTGATAAGAAGAACAAAAACACACAGACCACAGAAGCACCGGGACTGTGGTGGAGCTGGCTGGGAGTCAGCTGCATTAAGATCACTACTGACCGAAAGGTCATGAGTTTGAAGCCAGTCTGGGTTGGAATGAGCTTCTGACCAATTTGTGTAGCTTGCTGTCGACTTTTGCAGCCTGAAAGACAGTTGCATCTGTCAAGTAGATAATTTAGCTGCTGCTTATGTGGGAAGGCTAATTTACAATGCCATAAAAATCTCCAGCAATCATGCAAAGAATGAGGAAGTACTTCATCAGTGTCACAAATGGACAGTGAAGTGACAGCTCCCCTGGTGGCTAGAATACCCTCATGAAAAAGCTGGAATGTTAAATAGCCTCTGTGTGTCTGTCTATATGTATTGTGTGTCTATGGCAGTAGTTCTCAACCTTCCTAATGCCCTGACCCCTTAATGCAGTTCCTCATGTTGTGGTGACCTCCAACCATGTTGTGGTGACACTTTATAATTGTAATTTTGCTAATGTTATGAATCATAATGTAAATATCTGATATGTAGGATGTATTTTCATTCACTGGACCAAATTTGGCACAAATACCCAAATTTGAATACTGGTGGGGTTGGGGGGTTGATTTTGTCATTTGGAAGTTGTAGTTGCTGGGATTTATAGTTCAGTTAAATTAAAAGAGCATTCTGAACTCCACCAATGATACAATTGAACCAGACTTGGCATACATAACTCTCATGACCAACAGAAAATACTGGAAGGGTTTGGTGGGCATTGACCTTGAGTTTTGGGAGTTGTAGTTCACCTACATCCAGAGAGCACTGTGGACTCAAACATGATGTATCTGGACCAAACTTGGCACGAATACTCAATATGCCCAAATGTGAACAGTGGTGGAGTTTGGGGAAAATAGACCTTGACATTTGGGAGTTGTAGTTGCTGGAATTTATAGTTCACCTGCAATCAAAGAGCATTCTGAAGCCCACCAATGATACAATTTGGCCAAACTTCCCACACAGAACCGCCATGACCAACAGAATATACTGTGTTTTCTGATGGTCTTTGGGGACCCCTCTGACACCCCCTCACGACCCTCCCAGGGGTCCCGACCCCCAGGTTGAAAAACACTGGTCTATAGTATTGAATGTTTGCCATGTATATGTACATTGTAATCAGCCCTATGTCCCCTGTGGGGTGAGAAGGGCGGAATATAAATATTGTAAATTAAATAAATAAAATATAAATAAATAAATGCTATCTCTTCCATAGGAAGACATTTTCTTTTTAGCAAAATAATATGGTTGCACTATTTACAAAAACAAGGCGTCCATAACACAAATAAAGTTCTTTATACTTCCTTCTTTGCTTCAATGCTGGGTGAGATGTGGAGACCCAAGTTTATTAATAACTCTTGAGGTCCTTGAAGCTTAAATTCTGCAAGGACCTTTATCAGAAAGTCATTTATGCACCCTCTTTGAGTAAATTTGCAGAGCGATAGAAAGGAAAGGAAATCACATATCTAGAATGCCTCAGGCAGCTGAACTAACCAAACACCACTTAGATAAATGGAACGATGACCTATCAAATTGCGGCTAAGATAAGCATTTGCTGAGCTTTTCGCCTCAACTGAAAGTTTTTGTGTCTGTAGCTAACTCGCTTTTTCTGCCCTGCCTTCTTTGGAGTTCGGAATATCCTAATCTGCTCATGAAAGGGTTTGTGATCAGCCAGTCGTGAGCCGGCCCTTTAGCCTTCATGGCTCATTGAAGACAGCAATGTGGCATCAGGCTCATTCTTGACATACATGCCTTTTTGAAGTTTCTGTTATACAAAGGGACGGCAGGAGATTTGAGAAAGGAAGAAAGAAGCCTTGGTATGTGACACAGGCATTCTGCAAAGCTGGATTAAAGGCGCGTTGAAATTTCTTCTCAGAATATACTTTTCGTTCTCCTGCTCACATTTTCTCAGATTCTGCCACTTTTATCACTGTTGTGGGTTATGATTTTGGTTGTTGTTATTTGCTCTTAAGTGTACTTTGATCGATAGCAATCACCTTCCAATCTAAAGAGACCTCCAGGAGCCCTAGTCAGGTTGTGCAACTCAGGGCCATGGCTTCTTCGCGCTCCCACCTGCATCGCAAGCGCGATTGGTGGGGACGAGAGAGAGGGCTTTTTCGGTGGTGGCCCCTCGACTCTGGAACTCACTTCCTAAGGGCATCAGGCATGCCCCAACTCTGGCAGTCTTTAGGAGGAGCTTGAAGGCGTGGTTGTTCCAGTGTGCCTTCCCAGAATAATGATCCCATAGCACTTTGTCCTCCAAAGCACTTTACATTTCTTAGGTCTGCTCGTATGCCCTTCCACAAACACCACTATCACCTTTTCGTCCATGTCCCAGCATTATTTCCAATTTTAACTCTACATTTGGCCTACCCATAGATTTTAAAGTGTGTTGTCCTATTGATAATGCTTATGTTATTGTTTTATTGTTTTGTTTTAAATTGCTTGTATTGTTATTGTTATTGCTTGTATTGTTGTATTTTGGGCTCGGCTTCATGTAAGCCATACCGAGTCCCCTGGGAGATGATAGCGGGATATAAATAAAGTGTTATTATTATTATTATTATTATTGAGCCAATCCACGTATATTGCTGTCTTCCTCTTTTACAATTGCTTTCTTCTACATGGTCACATTTATTTATTTATGACATTTATATTCCGCCCTTCTCACCCCGAAGGGGACTCAGAGAAGCTTACAAGATATATATACAAACTATATATTATATTATTAGCAAAGTACAATGTCAGCATTAAATATTACCATATTGTACTATATAATTATCTACATAAATAAAAATGTAATGTTCATTTGTGGGATTAACATAACTCAAAAACCACGGGACGAATTGACATCAGATTTGGACACAAGACACCTATCAGGCCAACAAGTGACCATCAGTCATAAAAACACTGAAAAACACAGCAAAATAGACTTAAAAGGCCAAAAAACCCAAAAATTACATTATAAAACATGTGTACATTTATTTATTTATTTATTTATTTATTTATTTATTTAGACTGGGCCACAGCAACGCGTGGCGGGTGAACAGTGTTTATATTTTTATTTATATAGCTAGCCGTCCCCTGCCACGCATTGCTGTGGCCCACATGGGGGTTCTGTGTGGGAGGTTTGGCCCAATTCTATTGGTGGGGTTCAGAATGCTCTGTGATTGTAGGTGAACTATAAATCCCAGCAACTACAACTCCCAAATGTCAAGATTCTATTTTCCCCAAACTCCACCAGTGTTCACATTTGGGCATATTGAGTATTCATGTAGAGTTTGGTCCAGATCCATCATTGTTTGAGTCCACAGTGCTCTCTGGATGTAGGTGAACTACAACTCCAAAACCAAAGGACACTGCCCACCAAACCCTCCAGTATTTTCTGTTGGTCATGGGAGTTCTGTGTGCCAAGTTTGGTTCAATTCCATCATTGGTGGAGTTCAGAATGCTCTTTGATTGTAGGTGAACTATAAATCCCAGCAACTACAACTCCCAAATGACAAAATCTATTTTTTTAGTGAAGGACATACATTGGGTTGTTAGGTGTCTTGGGTTCAAATTCGTCTAGTAGTTTTTGAGTTCTGTTAATCCCACAAACTAACATTACATTTTTATTTATATAGATTACATGTAATATAAATATATAATTATAAGACCATATCATTAGTAGTATTATATTGCATTACCTTATAATATTATAAATATTATATGTATATACAATATATTATATTATATTAGAATAGCACAGGAGACAAGGTGGATCTCATATGGGTCTCCTGTGCCTGCGCAGTCAGATTTGGAACTCATAGCCACAGTTTAATAATTTTGTCTCCAGTGTTCAGATTAGAGGATTTATAAGCTAGCAACAAAAGCTAACAACAAAAAGTAAAGGCCCAAGCTCTCTTCTTCTTACTTCCCAATATTAGATTGGAGTCCCCAGTGGTGCAATGGGTTAAACCCTTGTGCCGGCAGGACTGCTGACCAAAAGGTCGGCGGTTCAAATCTGGGGAGCGGCGTGAGCTCCCATCTGTCAGCTTCAGCTTCCGATGTGGGACATGAGAGAAGCCTCTCACAGGATGGTAAAACATCCGGGCATCCCCTGGGCAATGTCCTTGCAGACGGTCAATTCTCTCACACCAGAAACAACTTACAGTTTCTCAAATTGCTCCTGACATGAAAAAAAAAATAGACCACTGCAGAAATCCTGCTACGCTCCTTAGCACAATGTGATGTCTTTGGCTACAGTGATGTGTTGAAATTGTATGAATGCTTTAATTTGAGCATAGTTTCTGGGTTGTTTCTGACTAATATTAATTTGCGCGGGCTTGATATAGATCCTGAAAAAAGAGCAGTGGTTATAGAGCTGTGAATCAAGCATAGAATATAGATGTTGCTATCTGTTGCATAAGCTTTTGTGTGATCTATATCGAGGTCTCCAGATATTGTATGCTAATTTTATTTTATTTTTAAATCAATGTTAAGGTGGATATGTTGCAAACAGCCTCGCAATCATGACGGATGCACTTCATATGCTAACTGACCTCAGCGGCATTATTCTGACCCTGCTTGCTTTGTGGTTGTCTGCAAAATCGCCTACCAAAAATTTCACCTTTGGCTTCCATCGCTTAGGTAAGTGACATAATACACATTGTTATGAGCCATGGTGTTGTCTGGCACATTGTGATGTCTGCATCTTCCTGTTCTTAAAAAAATGCAATTTGCTGATCAGCCACAAACAATGTGCAATAACAGATTCGGAATCTGTGCAATGACTATGGAACGTTTTTGGACTGCGATTATGGATGGCGTGATTTACCGTATATACTCGAGTATAAGCCGACCCGAATACAAGCCAAAACAAATTTTACCACAAAAAACTAGGAAAACTTATTGACTCGAGTATAAGCCAAGGGTGGGAAATGCAGCAGCTACTGGTAAATTTCAAAATAAAAATAGATACCAATAAAATTACATTAATTGAGGCATCAGTAGGTTAAATGTTTTTGAATATTTACATCAAACTGTAATTTAAGATAAGACTGTCCAACTCTGATTAAACCATTATTCTAACCTTCTTCAATGTAAATGTGCTTATGTATCCTTCCAATAATAATAAAGAGAGTAAAATAGTAAATGTAATAAAAATAATAATAGAGTAAATTAATGGAAATGTAATAATAATAAATATTGTTGTGTCAAACTGTGTTTTTGTGTCAGGATAATCTATATATATAAATCTGAAAGTGGCGTCGAACAGGACAGCAAAACTCAAAAACCTCCCAACGAAAATTAACCAAAATTCCCATGCACCTACCACAACCCACAAGGTACAAACATATCTAATCAAAATAAAAAACAACACAACAACACACTCACAAAAGGACAATACAACTGAGCATGCGCAATGGCGCAAAGTCCCCGGCGCACGCGCGCACATGGCCGAATGGCCAACGCACCCTCCGCACCTCCCTCCCTCCCTCCCCCCGCCCAGCACGAACACATCACCTCACTCCCCCGGCACACACACACGCCACAACACGCCCCAATCTTTGCACCCTCCCTCCTTCCCCAATCATACCTCCTCCCTCACCCTCGCCCCCTCCAAGCCCGCCCCTTCCCCCCTGTCCAAATCTCCCTCCCCCCCCTCCTTCTTCTTCCCCTCCAAGCCCCGCCCCCTCCAAGCCCCCCCCCTTCCCGTAGAGAAAGGGAGGGAAGGAAAGAAGGAAAGAGAGAAGGAAGGAAAAAAAGAGACAGCAGAAGAGAAAGAAAAAGGGGGGAGGAAGGAAAGAGATAGAGAAGGAAGGAAGAAGAGAAGGAAAGACGGAAGGGAGGAAAGAAAAGGGGAAGAAAGGAAAGTAAGAGAAAGAAGGAAGAAGAAAAAGGAAAGAGGGAAGGAAAGAAAAGAGAGACAGCAGAAGAGAAAGAAAAAGGGGGAAGGAAGGAAAGAGGTAGAGAAGGAAGAAATGAGAGACAGAGGGAGAGAAAGGAAGGAGAGAAGGAAGGAAGGAGAGAAGGAAAGAAAAAAGGGAATGAAGGAAGGAAAGAGTGAGTGAAGGAAGGGGGAAGATGTAGAGAAAGAGGGAGGGAAAGAAAGAGAGAAGGAAGAAAAGAGAGACAGCAGAAGAGAAAGAAAAAGGGGGAAGGAAGGAGGAGAAGGGGGAAAAAGGGGGAAGGAAGGGAGAAGGAAGAGGAGAAGGAAAGATGGGAAGGAAGGAAGGAGGGAAAGAAGGAGAGAAAGAGGGAAGGTTGGCCACAGCAAATAAAAAGTGAAAGAAGGAAGGAAACATGGAGGGAAAAAAGGAGGCAAAGGAAGAAAGGGGGAGGGAATGAAGGAAAGAGAGAAGTTACCTCTCTTTCATAATAGACCAGATATCTACCTCTACTATGAAAAGATTTACTATAGGCCACAGCAACGCGTGGCAGGGTACAGCTAGTAATAATAATAATAATAATAGAGTAAAATAATGCCCAAGAGTGTTCTTTTACTCCATTCAGAAGGGTGGGTTATGTTTCATAATTTAGCCTGCCAAACCTTTGGTTCCTCGACAGAGACATTTTCCGTCAGCCTTCTAGGATCAACCCCATCAACTCTTTATTAAAGCCATACACTGTAGTAGAGCAGCAAATCTTCTTGGGACTCAAACAATAACGAGTTTGGCAGCGATCAAACTTTTCTTTCAAGAGTCTTTAATTTTGAGGAATGAGAATCCTTAGGACTGAAACACAACTCCACGGGGGCCAAGTCGAGTTTGGAAAGGTATTTAAATACACCCTTGTGCTTAGTGTTATTATCCTGCTCCAAGGGGATTTCAAAGAACAACAAAAATGTTTGGGGGGGGGGATCTAATTATAGTTTATATATATATATGAGGAGGAATCATGTGAACAGTGAATGGAGACCAACCTAGCAGAGGAATAAAGAAAAGAGCTGGGTCAGGGCATTCTTATTTGAAAGACACTTTTTTTTGGTTCAAAAGATTTTCTTTCATAACAACTGGGCTTAGGCCACTGCCACAAAGAGTTGCCAAGAAATTTTACCTGCCTTTTCTTGGCAACTTTTTGCAGAGAGCGTTGATCTCAGCAGATAAGCTATTTATGGTTACGAAAGCTGTATCAGCTCATTCACAATCCAGCACCTTATGCTTTGCAAGGTAGCCTTTCCGAACACAGAAATAGCTTTTCTGTTGATGTAGATGCAGACCAGGGAGGAAAAGGACTGTACACAGATCGAACAAACCAGACTTCTTAACCCAACAACAAGCTATGGTTTCACGTTGAGTTGCTGTGAGTTTTCCGGGCTGTATGGCTATGTTCCAGAAGCATTCTCTCCTGACATTTTGCCCACATCCTCAGAAGTTGTGAGGTCTGTTGAAAACAAAGGATCCCCCCCCCCAGGCAGCAATCAGAAAGGCTTTGAAGTTGCAAGGCCATTAATCAAGGTGGCCAATTGCAGCCTTCATACTTGCCTCAAGCAGAGAAGAGTTCTTTCTCCCACCTTGGGACATTATTCCACAGATATAATAATAATAATAATAATAATAATAATAATAATAATAATAACAACAACAATAATAACAACAACAACACTTTATTTGTAGCCCACTACCATCTCCCCAAGGGACTCGGTGCGGCTTACATGAGGCCGAACCCAAACACAACAATACAAGCAATAATCACAACAATACAAGCAATTAAAATAAAAACAGATATCTAAACCTCACTTGCTCTTGTAGTTCAGCCTGTGATTGTATCTGATGTTCATGATGGGAATGAGGATGAAGGGTTGCCTGGGCCTGAGTTAAGCCCAGACGAGAGGCCGGAGGTGTCTCGTGAAGATTCACAAAGTCACATTCCTGGGAGAGGCCTTCAACAGTCTTTCTCCGAGAAACTGCCTTCTGAAGATGATTTGTCAGGTGCAGAAACTCACAGCAACCCATTGTTTTGTGCTAACTTTTTCCCAGTGTGCCTTGCAAACAATAAAACACGATTTAATAAAATACGTAAGACATAAATGTTGGAGATGTTGTGCATTGGGGTTTTTTGGGGGGAGTGGAACTGCTGAGTTTAAAATGAAATTTAATTATATTAATTCTATTTTAATTGTATTTTAACTTTTTATCCACTCACTAATATTTCATCATTTTTGATTTTTTTAAAAAATGTTATTAGATTGTAAATTAAATTAACAACAACAACAACATGGTTATCTTTCATTGTCTACCTCCTTTATCTTACATGTGCTTTTGTTACTGAAAAGAAGGATTGCGCGAAGTCTAATAAAGTACATTTTCAAAGGCTATTCAACAAGCCTTTGAAAATTATTAATAATATTCCCCTGAATGTGAACAAGGTTCTTTTTTTTTTGCTCAATGGAAATACGAAGTTATTTTGGCTTTTATCTAGTTTGTTTAATCTATTGAGAACACTGTGTTTTGCAATGTGTTTTTATTGCAAAACACATTATTTTTTTTAACTTTTTATTGTTTAATTTGTCTATTTTGTTTTATGTTACTTTGTTTCCTTCTTGTCAACTTGCCATTTATTTCTATATATTATTTATTGTATTTACTTATGCCATGAGCCACCCGAGTCCTTTCAGGGAGATGGGGCGGGATAGAAATAAAGATGATGATGATTGTTATTATCATCATCATTATTATTTCAGTTGCCTCAACTAATTGTGCATAATGAAATCATGATAATTTGAAAGTTGTAAATTAAAATAACATAATAATAATAAACTTTATTTATACCCCGCCACCATCTCCCCGATGGGGACTCGGAGCGGTTTACATGAGGGCAAGCCCAAACAACAAATTACAATAGAGTAAAACTGAAAACACAAACTGAAAACGTAAACAATAAACAGCAACACCATAATTACATAAAACAAGTGAATACATAACAATATAAAATTACAATAAGCACAATCACAATAACAGTGAGCGGGCTACATGTAATGATTAAAAGAGAAACTAATTAAAACTAATTAAAAACTCAGGCAAGATAAAAGAGAGACAGATTATAGCGGGGGGTGGGGCTCATTATAGCGGGCTCATTATAGCGGGGGGTGGGGATGGGGTTGTGGAATCAAGCTTTCCCACAAGTGGGAGGGACGTATACTCCAATGACTTTCTTTATAAATGAAAAGCAGAAGTGTTCAATGATGATGCCACATGCATGCTCTCAGAAATAACAAGTGCTACTGTTGTTTCTTTTTTCTCTCCCAGAGGTTTTGTCTGCCATGTTCAGCGTGTTGCTGATTTATATCCTTATGGTTTTCCTCTTGTATGAAGCTGTGCAAAGGACCATCCACATGGACTACGAAATCAATGGGGATGTCATGCTTATTACCGCCGCTGTTGGTGTGGCTGTCAACCTCATGTACGTTGACCGTTTCCTCTTCTGAAAATGAAGATCATCCATTATCATTATCACTTTCATTTTATAGTGCCATCCACGTAATAGCCATGGTGGTGCACTGGCTAGTTCACCTTTGTGCTGGCTGAACTGCTGACCTGTAGGTTGGGTTTGTTGACCTGAAGGTTGCCGGTTCAAATCACCCTTGAGCTGGCTGAATTGCTGACCTGAAGGTTGCCAGTTTAAATCACCCTTGTGCTGGCTGAACTGCTGACCTGAAGGTTGGGTTTTTTGACCTGAAGGTTGCCGGTTCAAATCACCCTTGTGTTGGCTGAACTGCTGACCTGAAGGTTGCCAGTTCAAATCACCCTTGTGTTGGCTGAACTGCTGACCTGAAGGTTTGGTTTTTTGACCTGAAGGTTGCCGGTTCAAATCACCCTTGTGTTGGCTGAATTGTTGACCTGAAGGTTGGGTTTCTGGCCTGAAGGTTGCCAGTTCAAATCACCCTTGTGCTGGCTGAACTGCTGACCTGAAGGTTGGGTTTTTTGACCTGAAGGTTGCCGGTTCAAATCACCCTTGTGCTCGCTGAACTGCTGACCTGAAGGTCGGGTTTCTGACCTGAAGGTTGCTAGTTCAAATCACCCCTGTGCTGGCTGAACTGCTGACCTGAAGGTTGGGTTTCTGACCTGAAGGTTGCCGGTTCAAATCCGTGAGATGGGGTGAGCTGTCTGTTAGCTCTAGCTTGCAGGGACGTGGGAGAAGCCTCCCAGCAGGATGGTAACACATCCGGGCGTCCCCTTGGCCACATCTCTGTAGACGGCCAATTCTCTCACACCAGAAGCGACTTGCAGTATGTTCTCAAGTCTTTTTTATGCTTTACACACACTTTTTCTCACTTTTCAATCTGTTCCTTCCAGGTCTCTTGAACCCGAGCAGAGGGAGATACATGCAGAAAAAAAGGCTTTTTTAAAAATATGTATTTTTGTTAAATTTCAAAGTACACTAAGAAAGACAACTATTTAAAAGAATTTCAGATAACTAAGAAAAAAATAAAGAAAAAGTAGAAGAAACCACTTGAGATGTATAAGAAAGATACATCAAATTAGAATAACGACCTCCAACTTCCCTTTTGATGGTTGTAAACAGATACTGTGTTTTCTTCCATTTTAAGACTTATTTTTCCGCTAGATCTTTAAAAATCACAGATATATTTATGTACTTTTGTTGGTGGTGGTTGTACTGAAATTAGAATGCATTTTACAAGTGGAGAAATATGGTATAATAGGTCTTACATCTCAATCCAGAATTAGCTCATACACTTCTGGTTATCTGCTTTTAAATCCAAAGTAATTTCTAGGTCTGTCAAAGAAGTAAATCCCATGAACACATTTGCTTTGTTAACTGTGATATAGCTGTGTTGCAGCCTTTATACACATTTTTGTTGTGGTAGGATTCAAAAATAGGGGTATATGTGGGGGGTTTCTTCCCCCTTTTGCCTTATTTATTCCCTGCTTCTGCTCTGCACTCTATTTCAGAATGGGCTTTCTGCTGAACCAGTCGGGCCACCTTCACTCGCATTCGCACGCTCCATCCTCCGTCCCTCCACCGAATCCCTCTGCCTCGGCGTCTGGGCACAGCCATGGCCACAACAGCCTGGCCGTCAGAGCTGCGTTCGTACACGCTTTAGGGGACCTGGTCCAGAGCATTGGTGTTCTCGTAGCTGCGTACATCATTCGCTTCAAGGTAGGATTGCGAACCATGCATGTGAAGCAAAACATTACTGATCATAGCTTGGTGGTTATATGTATGTATGTTGATCCCAGAGCTTTTGTAATGGAGAATATTGTTCCACATAATATTCCATGTATAAATATGTGAGAGGAAGCCACAGGGAGGAGGAGGGAGCAAGCTTGTTTTCTGCTTCCCTGGAGACTAGGACGCAATGGAACAATGGCTTCAAACTACAAGAGAGGAGATTCCATCTGAACATGAGGAAGAACTTCCTGACTGTGAGAGCCGTTCAGCAGTGGAACTCTCTGCCCCGGAGTGTGGTGGAGGCTCCTTCTTTGGAAGCTTTTAAACAGAGGCTGGATGGCCATCTGTCAGGGTTGATTTGAATGCAATATTCCTGCTTCTTGGCAGAATGGGGTTGGACTGGATGGCCCAGGAGGTCTCTTCCAACTCTTTGATTCTATGATTCTATGATTCTATAAACAAGGGACATTTGGGTTGTTGTAGGTTTTTTTGGGCTATATGGCCATGGTCTAGAGGCATTCTCTCCTGACGTTTCGCCTGCATCTATGGCAAGCATCCTCAGAGGTAGTGAGGTCTGTTGGAACTAGGAAAAGGGTTTATATATCTGGGGACTGACCAGGGTGAGACAAAGGACTCTTGTCTGCTGGAGCTACGTGTGAATGTTTCAACTGACCACCTTGATTAGCTTATAATGGCCTGGCAGCTTCCCCCTGGCTTATTGTGGACCTGTGAAACAGAGAGTCTGCAATAAGCGCACCTCAATATAGCGAGGGAACACTGTATACACATAGTGGAGTTTTTGATCTGAGAATTGTTGGGTTGGATTTGTTGGGATTCAGCCCCACATTGCCCAAGTCGCAAGTCCTCAACAGGTTGAGAGTGAGATGGAGAGTGAGGATGCAATTAGGGAAGTGCCTGTCTGTGTCCTCATAGCCAGATCCTTCTTCAATTCCTCTCCTCACTACCAGGAGGATGTTAACGAATAGTAGTTCCAAATTTATTTATTTATTTATTTATTTGTCGTGTTAGGGCAACCAGTCAATTATATTACATTTCTAACAGAACAAGGCAAACAAACAGACAAAATACAAAATTTGTGAGTTTGGTAGTTCATTAAATGTCCTTTGACCAGTATCTGGCCACTTGGAGTGCTTCTGGTGTTGCTGCAAGAAGGTCCTCCATTGTGCATGTGGCAGGGCTCAGGTTGCATTGCAGCAGGTGGTCAGTGGTTTGCTCTTCTCCACACTCGCATGTCGTGGATTCCACTTTGTAGCCCCATTTCTTGAAATTGGCTCTGCATCTCGTGGTGCCAGAGCGCAGTCTGTTCAGCGCCTTCCAAGTCGCCCAGTCTTCTGTGTGCCCAGGGGAAGTCTCTCATTTGGTATCAGCCATTGGTTGAGGTTCTGGGTTTGAGCCTGCCACTTTTGGACTCTCGCTTGCTGAGGTGTTCCAGCGAGTGTCTCTGTAGATCTTAGAAAACTATTTCTAGATTTAAGTCATTGACATGCTGGCTGATATCCAAACAAGGGATGAGCTGGAGATGTCACTGCCTTGGTCCTTTCACTATTGGCTGCTACTTCCCGGTGGATGTCAGGTGGTGCAATACCGGCTAAGCAGTGTAATTTCTACAGTGGTGTAGGGTGCAGACACCCCTGATAATGCGGCATGTCTCATTAAGAGCCACATCCACTGTTTTAACGTGATAAGATGTGTTCCACACTGGGCATGCCTACTCAGCAACAGAGTAGTAAAGCGCAAGGGCAGATGTCTTCACTGTGTCTGGTTGTGATCCTCAGGTTGTGCCGCTCAGCTTTCATATGAGCTTGTAGAAGTATCACTCTCGTCTGTGCCTTCCAGGATCTGAGCTACTGGGAGTCAACGCTTCTGTTCTGAGAAGGGAGGGGACTGAATCATTCTGTTTTCAATCTGTGTTAAGACCTGTTCACTAATTGGACTCCCATACTGCATGTTGTGGCACGTAAGCATCCCACTCCACCCACAATTTCCCTTTATTTGCTGGAAACACCTGGAATGGACTTCATCCAAATGGGATTTTGAAGCCGCATACAGTTGGGAGACATACCTATCCAGGATTCCTGATTGCGTGGATTATGGTAGCCATGTTCACCAGAACATGGCTACGTTTTCTTTTCAGACACAGAACTAATTGTAAATCTCTTCCTCATTGGGTTGCTGTGAGTTTTCTGGGCTGTATGGCCATGTTCCATAATAATAATAATAATAATAATCATCATCATCATCATCTTTATTTATACCCCGCCACCATCTCCCCAATGGGGACTCGGAGCAGCTTACATGAGGCCAAGCCCAAACAAAAAAATTACAATAAAATAAAACCGAAAATGCAAACAATAAACAACAAACAACATAATTACATAAAATATATGAAAACATAGCAATATAAAATTACAATAGGCACAATCACAATGACAATGGGCGGGCTACATGTAATGATTAAAAGAGAGACTGATTAAAACTAATTAAAACTCAGGCGAGATAAGAGAGACATTATTTGCGGAGGAGGACTCATTATAGTGGGGGTTGTGGAATCAGGCTTTCCCACAAAGTGGGGGACAGGACATATACTTCAATGACAAAACGTTGAGGCTGGGCTATATGCCCATGTTTCAGAAGCATTCACCCACATCTATGGCAGGCATCCTCAGAGGTTGTGAGGTTTGTTGGAAACTAGGCATGTGGGGTTTATATATCTGTGCTTATTAGAGGGTGGGAGAAAGAAGTCTTGTTTGTTTGAGGCAAGTGTGAATGTTGCAGTTGATCATCTTGATTAGCATTAAATAGCCTTGCAGCTTCAAAGTTTGGCTGTTCCTGCCTGGGGAAATCCTTTGTTGGGAGATGATTAGCTGCTCCTGATTGTGTCTTGGAAACGGCTATGTGACTGGGTGGTTGTAGGTTTTTTTCAGGATATATGGCCATGTTCTAGAGGCATTCTCTCCTGAAGTTTCGCCTGCATCTATGGCAAGCATCCTCAGAGGTAGTGAGGTCTGTTGGAAATAGGAAAAAGGGTTTATATATCTGTGGAATGACCAGGGTGGGACAAAGGACTCTTGTCTGCTGGAGCTAGGTGTGAATGTTTCAACTGACCACCTTGATTAGCATATAATGGCCTGACAGTGCCTGGAGCAAACTTTTGTTGAGAGGTTATTAGATGTCCTTGTTTGTTTCCTCTCTGTTGTTTGCTGTTGAATTTTAGAGTTTTTTAATACTGGTAGCCAAATTTTGTTCATTTTCATGGTTTCCCCTTTCTGTTGAAATTGTCCACATGCTTGTGGATTTCAATGGCTTCTCTGTGTAGTCTGACATGGTGGTTCTTAGAGTGGTCCAGCATTTCTGTGTTATCAAATAATATACTGTGTCCAGGTTGGTTCATCAGGTGCTCTGCTATGGCTATGTGACTGTATAATTAATGTTATTGTTTTTAATCTATTGTGTATTTATGGTTTTATATTGTTGCTATATTTTGATATTGCGACATTGAATTGTTGCCAGTGTTAGCTGCGCAGGGGTCGAGAAGGGCGGGGTAGAAATGTTGTAAATAAATAAATTAATTCTTGTCTTCCAATTCCCTGTTTTGAAATTGTCCAAACATGAAAGGAGGAAACAATGAGAATGATCAAAATCTCGCTACCAGTATTTAAAAACTCTAAAATCAGGTCAGTAAATAAAGAGCAACACTTAAAAGAAAGAAAAAAGGGGGGATTCCAGACAAGAAACAATCAGGGCCAGCTAACACCTCCTAACAAAGCTGCAAGGCCATTCAATGCTAATCAAGGTGGCCAATTGCAACATTCACACTTGCTTCAAGCAGACAGGAGTTCTTTCTCTCACCTTGGACATTCCACAGGTATATAAACTTCACTTGCCTAGTTTCCAGCAGTCCTCACAACTGAATATGCCTGACATAGATGTGGGTGAAACGTCAGGAGAGAATGCTTCTGGAACATGACCATACAGCCTGGAAAACACAGCAACCCAGTGATTCCGGCCATGAAGTAGGTTGGCTTGCATAAAAATGAAAGCTGAGCCAAATTGCCTACCAGCCCTTGTTCCAAACTTTCAAAATATTCCAAAAGAAGGCACAGGCCGCTTGCTAAGTTCCCTTCTTAGGCGGAGTCTAACCAGGCTTGCATCTCTTTTGTCTCAGCCAGAATACAAGATTGCAGACCCGATATGCACATACGTATTCTCCATTCTTGTGGCTTTCACAACATTTCGAATCATCCGGGACACTGGAATAATTGTACTTGAAGGTAATAATTCTTACATTTGACATCAACGACTGCAAGCAGGTAAAAGCCACAATAATGTGTGCATCCAAGCTGTTTTCATGGAGGTTTTCACACAGTCGCCATTGCATGTGCCATGTGGGATTTTCACTGATACCTTTTGGAATGGAATTTTGTATTTTGTCTTCTCCAGAAATGAGGCGCGCCACTAATGACCTGAATGCATGTTATAAAGCATAGCCCCGTGATTTTTCACTGTGCGATCCAATTCCTGAACGGATGTAAACATCTGTGGAAGTGTTGTTCCCTAATTTAAAACTTTTCAAAATTGTAGAATCTTAGAATTAGAAGGGATCGCAAGGGCCATCTAGTCTAGTCCCCTGCCATGCAGGTATATATAAATGCAGTGTTATTACGAGGGGTATTTTTTAAGTAAGGTCCGTTTGAACATAAGTACACAACGAAAGTTTATTTCAAAAAAGTAAATTTATTTTCAGAAAGTACATACTTCACTCTATTTTTCGACATAGTTGCCAAGTTTGTTCAAACACTTATCATACCTCTGAACCAATTTTAAAATACCCTCTTCATAAAAACTTGCCTCCTGCTCCGATACCAAGAGTTCACTGTAATCAAAGAAGGGCGACCGGAGCGGTCCTCATCATGGACGTTGTCACGGCCATCTTTGAATTGTCGTACCCACTTACGCACTTTGCTTTCACTCATAACAGTCTCACCGTACACTTCACAAATCTGTCGATGAATTTCTGCAGCAGGCAGGTTCCTTGCTGACAAAAACCGTATCACTGAGCGAACCTCACATGCGGAGGGTGAGTTGATAGTCTTAAACATTTTTAAAGCACAGAACAGAACCGTACAGGTTAGCTACAGAGCGGAAACTAAGCACGCGCTCGTTGCGGTATGCGCGAACTACTATTGTCTACAACAAAATGGACCTTACTTAAAAAAAACCCCCTGTATTTGTAAGGCTTACATAGTACCCACCAGTCGTGTGCATTTGGGGCTTATTTTCATCCGTTTCGTGTCCCGGCTTTCTATGGGACCCCTGATCTGTTTCATCTGAGCCTACTGAAATTGGGAGGTCAGATATTTGTTTCCTGTTTTCGGGCCGAAATATCATTTTCTTTTAGCCCATTATTGGGGGGATGGGACGGTACCCTCTCCCGTCTGCCTTTCGTTTTGAGGCTGTTTACATTCCAGGAGGTGCCTTCCTCTTTCGTGCCATCCAAATGGATGGAACGTAGGCCCAAAGCACCCAGGAATATGGGTGAAGGCTTTGGGCCTATGTGCCCGGACTTGGCAGGGCCTGCAGTTGAACACCAAGTAAGGAACGCTCCTTACTTGGCCCTTGGCTGCAGGCCTTGTGAGGCCCAGGTGTGTAGGTCCAAAGTGTCTGCGCTTACAGGTGCAGGCTTTCGGCCTATGTGGCTGGGCCTGCAGCTGAACACCAAGTAAGAAATGCTCCTTACTTGGCCCTTGGCTGGAGGCCTTGTGAGACCCAGGTGTGTAGGCCCAAAGTGTCTGCGCCTATTATTATTAAACTTTATTTGTACCCCGCTAGCATCTCCCGAAGGACTCGATGCGGCTTACATAGGCCAAGGCCTCAAAACACAACACAACAATACAACACCTAAAGCAAATTAAAAACAGTTAAAGCAATATTAACAACAAGCAATAAACAATACATCAAGACACTATAAAACTGGGCCGGGCCAGAGTAATGGGTACAAGATTAAAAGTGCTGATGTGGCAGGAGGTATGTAGGATTATAAGGTAAGTGCAGTGTGCGGTGTGCAGCAATCTTAGTTCTACTAAAGTGCTTCTGGGACTTGGTATTGGGGATTCCTAATCTGGGAAGGCACATCGGAACAGCCAGGTCTTCAAGTTCTTTCTAAAGATTGCCAATGTAGGGGCCTGTCTAAGATCTTTTGGGAGGGTGTTCCAGAGTCGGGGGGCCACCATGGAAAAGGCTCTGTCTCGAGTCCCCGCCAGGCGCGCCTGCGACGCAGGCGGAATCACGAGCAGGGCCTCTCCGGATGAGCGAAATGAACGTGTGGGTTCATAGACGGAGATGCGGTCACGCAGGTAGGATGGTGCAGACTTTCGACCTATGCGTCTGGACCTGGCAGGGCCTGCAGCCGAGTGCTGAGTAAGGAGCAATCCTTACACAGCACTTGGCTGCAGCCCCTGCCAGGCCCTGGCACTTTGGGCCTATGTGCAAGGCTATCGTTCCAAAAAGCAGGCTTGGAGCCGGTACCCACTCCCGTCTGCCTTTTGTTTCGAATTTTTATTCCAGGAGGGGCCTTCCCATTTCATGCCATCCAAATGGATGGAACGAAACGGAAACATGAATCAAACAGATGGGACAAATTTCGGGACCATGATTAGTACCCACTTAGTGAGTGCCCTTGGGTCAGTTTGCAAATTACTTCATTTATATAAATAAAATTGTAATGTTTGTTTGTGGGATTAACATAACTCAAAGACTACTGGATGAATTGACACCAAATTTGGACACAATATACCTATCAGGCCAACGAGTGACCATCTATATAAATTAAAATGTAATGTTAGTTTGTGGGATTAACATAACCCGAAAACCAATGGACGCAATACACTTATCAGGCCAAAGAGTGACCATCACTCATAAAAACACTGAAAAACATAGCAGAAGAGACTTAAAAAGCCAAAAAACAAAAAATACATTACAGTGCATGCTAAACCACATATATACACATATACCCACACATATAGAAACACAAAAAACACATATACACACACTGGGCCATAGCAATGTGTGGCAGGGGACGGCTAGTGTTTGTATAAATGTATAACAATATTTCAAGAGACTGAAACCTTTGCCATTTCAAAAGCTGATGTGCATTTTCATAATATTAGGGAGTTAGCACTATGCAGATGTTTGGCCAATTATATCATTATTCAATATAATAATTTCGTTTTAATGTGATCCTTGGTTTTCCTTTTAGGTGTCCCAAGACATTTGAATGTGGAACTCATTAAAGAAGAGCTAATGAAAATCGAAGATGTGTTTTCAGTGCAAAACCTCAACATCTGGTCACTAACTGCAGGAAAAACTATTGTCGTAGTCCACTTGCAATTAGGTAAAAAAGGGGGCTCATACTGTTACATCCAAAAAGTGCATTGCTTGTATTATAATGATCATTTGTAACATATCTGTATCAACTGTATGTTCTACCCAAACCAAAAGGTAAAGGCCCAGGCATAGCATCTAAGGGTTGTTTTTGTGTAATGTGTCTTAGCTGTGTAATGCGTCTTAGACTGAGGAATATACAGCTCCTGGGGTCCCTTTTTTGTGGTTTCTGAATACTCCCCTGAAAAACTCCAAGCCCCCTTTTCAAGTTTAAGTGAAAATACAGGAAAAGCACTACAAAAACATGGCATCCCGTTGGCTCCTCACAGCCTCCCGTAACATGAAATTTGGCTGCATTTTAGCTGTTGCCCTGATGTCAGAAGTAATGCAGCATCGTTTCCTATAATGCCAGGAACAGCAGTATTGCACTAGAAGAGGGTGTAGGCTGGATAGTCCCTCTCCTCTTTGCAGCTTTCCTATTGAGGGACCAGAGTAAAGCTTGTATGAGGATTGTACAAAAAGTAATGCCTAT